TCTTGCTCTATTGAGAGAGCATTTTGTTAGAAGTAAATTCACGTATATTATCTTATTGAGAAGATAATTGTATTTTTGTTTAAAGTAAAACACGCATAAATTATCTTATTGAGAAGATAATTGTAGTTCGTCAATTATAAATTTTACACATATTACCTTATTTGAAAAATAGTTAGTTGTATAACCCACTTGGACCTATAAAAGTAAATAATTGCCGTGAACACAGTCACTATTACCATTTTAAAATAATTACATACGCATAATCTTAAAACGGTAACACTATAAAAGTAAATAACTGTCATGAATACAGTCACTATTACTATTTTAAAATAATTATATATGTATAATCTTAAAATGATAATAATATTCTGTTTTTAATTATCTTTTTTATTATAATAAATTATATTTTGATTAATTATACATTTTTCTTGCCTAAAAAAATATAAGTAGTAAATATCCTTTACTTAAAATAGATTAAGTATATTTTATTTGATTTATGAAAATTCTTATAAGCTTTCTCATATATAAAAGTTTTAATTTATTTTTGATATATAATTTTTGTTTATCTAATAGTTAAAAAGATACTATTAAAAGATTTAGTTAATATATTAAATCTTTTATTTTAGTTATAATAATTTTATTTTAGTTTTAAATATCTACTCTTAGTTTAGTATTTATAATCATAACTTTCTTTTTATTTTAATTCATTTTTATCTTGTATTAATATAATACTTATAAGTATTAGTATTAGGAAGTCTTTAAAATAAATATAATTCTCTTTACCTTTATAAATAATTTAGTATTTATTCTCAAAACTTATTATAAATTATATTTCTAGTAAAATCTATTTTCATAAATATAATTTGTAATATTATATAACTTAATATATTTTGAATTAAATTTCTTGATTAATAAATAAATAAATAATTATATATTTTATTTTTAAATAAATTATATGCTTTATTTTATATTAGTTAATTATATATAAAATTATATAATCATGTGATATAATATTAAATATCACTAATATAATTTATTAAAATTATTTTTTTATATTAAATCTTAATAAATTTTTTAATATTTTTTATATTTTTAATTTAAGAATTATTTTTTTAAATTAAATTTGTGATTTTTAAAATTTTTTTAAATATATAATAAATATTTCAAATTTTAGCAAATTGAATTAATATTTATAAAAAATTAAGTATTAAAATTTAAAAATATAAATATTTTATTATATAAAATTTGCAAAAAAATTATTATATATTACAGATAAAAAATTTCTAAAAAAATAAAAATTTAAAGAGACTATTATTAATTATATACATTTTTTATAAAATAATTATATTCAAATAATTAAAATTAAGATTAGAATTTTTATAATAAAAATTATTATATATCTAAATTTTTATATTAGATAATTATATAAAGTGCTTATCATAAATAATACAGTTAAAAAGTGAAAAATTTTTTTCTTTTTGAAAGTTTCTTATTTTAGCCATATATATGATATATTGCTAAAATATTTTTACTTAATAATTACATTTTGAATATATTAAATATATAACATAGAAAAACTGAAAAACTGAAGTTCTAATTTTGGCAACATTTATCTCATCTCATACACATCAAATTTGAGATACTCATAGCGTTAGTAATTGGTCATTTATTTATACACTTCTAATGCGTGGAAAACCACAAAGCTCGGTTCGGCGTGGTGCGCAACAACGTCAAGGCCTAGGGATCGGTACACCACTACGAATTCGCGGAAGAGGCAATCGAGTATGGCGAGGTGGCCTACCCTATGGAAATGTGCAATTAAACAACGATCATACTGGCGGATCTGCAACAGCATCAACTCCGAAGAATAACGCTTCAACCAATCCACCAGTATGGCAACGAACTAGTGGTGGCAATATTTCCTTGACCCGGGGTGGTGCAAATCGTAATAGACCTTATAATATGACTTGGAAAGGAAATACTGGTAGTCGTGGAAGACGAGGACGCGAAATGATTGCACAAGATGAAGAAATGCAACAGTACGAGGATACTGGAGAGATGCAACAATACGAGGATACTGGTGGAATGAAGGAATTGCCAGACCCGAATGTACATGAGGAGGCAGTTATAAAGTTTTTGGAGAAATTTTTCAGGGAATATAATCACACATGTGCGCGTTGTCGGGCAGCTGATTTTTTCTACTCGTATCCAGTTCCACTTCAATCGGATCGTAAAATTATATTTGAATCAGAGGAAGAACAAGAGACACCATCTATTTCGCCTATTTTTAATGACAGTTTTAACAACAATAATAATAATTCTCCGGCACAACATAGTCCATTCCCAATACCATCATCGCTCAATCAACAAATACCGAATTTCTTTCAAAGTCACCTTTCTAAATTAGAAACACCATCCACATTTATCCCATCACCAAATCTATTTTCATCACAAAAAGATCCCGCGACTTTACAAAATACCCCACAAGATTCTCCAAGTAGATTATCGAAAACTCCATCAACATTTTTTAATGATTTACCAAAATTGCAGACACCTAAACCTCCATCACTTTTTTCAAATATATCAGATTTGGCACCTAAATCTTCTTTTGTCTCACCACCACCACCACCATCACCATCACCACCACAGGCATCACAGGCGGCAGCAGCACCATCATCACCACCACCACGAATAACCAAACCATCATCAGTTGTCACAAAAGCACCGCAAAAAAAACCTGTAAAAACTGTAAGTTTTGTATTCCATGAAGATAAAGGAAAAAGATGTTTACCGGTCGATTCTGAGTCCGCGAGTAAAAAGAAGGTATGCCTATCATCTGAATCAGTTGATGAAAATGTCAAAGTTAGAAAGAGATCGTTTGACGATGAATCGGACTCGAAAAAAGAGAACAAAGACAAAGGAAAAGAAGTGGAAGTTCCAGCAGAGTCGATTCAGCCGACAAAGAAAAAAGTGCAAAAGATACAAACCAAACCAAAAAAACAAAGTCGACCATGGCAAGAGATTAACGTTGATTATGAGTGGATCAACAGCAATTTCAAATTACGGTATTTACTTTTCATCCACTCCTACTATCAGATTTTCGTCGTCTTCAATTTCGCGTTAAATATTGATTCCATCTTTTGTTAATTTATTTGCTTACACAAGTGGTTCCTTCTGTAACTGGGATGAATCAAAGTGCATGAATCCGAACTGCAATACACATCAAATACAACAACCATTCTGGCTCACAAAGATGTTTAAGGAAGGACCCAAAAAATTCATATTCTAAATTATGCAGCACTTGAAGGGATACGGAAATTAACCATTTGATGGAGGAAATCACCTAAAAATTATCGTAGATTCGATAATCATTTGCTAATGGACTATGAAAAAAGACATTGTATATATATGTTTTTAGTTTAATTTATTAAATTCGCATTTTATAATTCTCGATTGGTAAAAGATAAATACATCATTTGCAGAACGTTTCACAAGGATAAAATAACGATAAGATTTCGCGCATATTTAATTAATTATATAATCGTAATTTATGTTTAGTAGTAGTGCCTGCTTAATGTAAGATAATAAATTCGGGTTAAGCAGCATACCGATACGCAATGAAAGATTTGCGATAAGAAACTTTCTATTGGGGGAATATCATTGGCACCCCGAAATCACGATTCCAACTGAAATCAAGAAATGATAAATAAAAATTTCCATGACGATAATGATAAGTTCTGCCAAGAATTTTTATCGTGCGGAAACATGCAAATGGTATACACTAAAATGTGAACATAAATAACCAGGTGCTATACTAAAATTTTCAGACAAATAAATGATTGGGATGTTGATCGACCGTTAGATTCACTTTTTTTGTTAAAAAGCGGTAAGGGGCAAATAATCGTAATTGTGAGCGTCGGCTGTGTTAATGTTGGTGAACATGATACCAACCAAAATAAAATGTGATTTTGGTGGTAACTTGTATGTAAATTTCGCTTTTTCTTTGTTTGTTGTGCTCTAAGAAGATTATTCAATAGAAAAAAACATTGAAAATAGGCAATGTCAGGCTGTTTGCTGATCTTTTATATTACATTGTTGTCGACTTCATTAAAAACCTGTTAATACTATTTATTGTTGTTTAAGTACTATTAATAGAAACACCATTCATTATACGCTCACTTTACACATTTTTGTCGTTTTATGATAAACATAAACGTAAACTGACTGACTGACTGGACTGACTGACTCCTTTTATCAATGAAAAGATTGATGATGATGATGATGATGATGATGATAGTGGCAATAGCATGATGTGATTATAATAAATTGATAATTCGGGCTTCCATTTTCTGCTCGAATCACAAGCTTCGTATTACGTAGTCTTATGCCCCAGCCCAATATTCGCATCATATCTGGCTGATATCGATGCATCCATAAATTCTGATACAATTCTGGCCCCTAAAAACCATCATAAAATCTCCCACTCAGAGTGACTGACCGATAACTCCTCAAACTTTTTGTGTACATACTCTCACTCACCAGAGTTTTACCCAGAGTTGAGAAAAATATTCCGGATATTTTTATTATTAAATATTATTTTATCTCGAAAAAATATACCGCACAAATAACACACACATATGCACATATACACACCTTTCTTTTTCTCGACAACATTTGTATACTAAAATAAAAGAATAACTTGAAAACTTGTTAATTTGAGAGCATACCAAAGGTTGGTTTAATATTTTTTCCCATTTTTTTTTTACCACTTTCCTCGTCCTGACGCTATCCAGAAAATAATCACCTTTATTTTACGCGTTTTTCTTTGCGAAAAGAAAAACAAAAAAAAATTGTTGGCTTCTCTAACTCCCAAAAATCTTATCCCATATCCTATAAATAATCACATTGACTTTCTGAATCACCTTTTTTTTTTAAGCTATCGAGAAAACCAGATTCAAACGAAAATTGAGCAAATCGAAACAAGACAACATACCTCAAGCCATTATAATTATACTATCGAATCTTGCTGACTTCCTTCATTGCCTAACAAGATACGCGTAATAATAACTCGAAAATGGAAAGCAACCTTGACCCTAATCTTGTGGCTGAATTGTTAGCTAAGCGCGATCAGGTATGTATTTTCTTTTTTTCTTGCTTTCTTAACACACCACTCTTATGCAAGTGAGCTTATCGTATGTGTGGCTTTAACGTTAGCTCATAGATGCATATGAAAAAATCGCTATCTCGCTTAGAGCTGCGGCCGTCGCATGTGGCGAATTTCAAGCATTATTGCCTAGAGACGTAGGGGTGCCGCCTATTCAAATTCCACAACAACAAGAAATCGGTGCTGTAGCAAACCAAAGAAGGATCCGGAAACCTCACGCTAAAGATCCGAATGCACCGAAGAAACCTAATACGGCTTATATCCTGTTTAGTAATGAGATTCGAGCTGCTACTAAAGCTGAATTTCCTGATCTCAATCAAAAAGAAATAGTGACAAAGATTGGACTGAAATGGAAGGAATTATCACGCGAACAAAAGAAGGTGATTATTAACTTGTAACAAACATTTGATTTCATCTCGTATATATCATAATGCATTCATCTAATGCTTAATTTTTTTTTCACAAATTTTAGGTCTATGAAGATCGATACTTTGCTGACCGGGAACGATATGATGAGGAATTACGAGCTTATCGAGCCGCACAAGGGTTCTTTGAATCGCCTACTGAAACATCATCTAATGAAGATAATGGTGATCACAGCGTTCTTGCAACTGCAATGGTTCAATCTGGAACCACCCCACATTTCAATGCTGGCATATCTCATATGGGATCAACTCTGACATCTGCTGGTCCCTTGATGACGACATTCTCCGCGAATGAGCAATCATCGCTCACTTTCGCGACTGATCAGACCACTTATCTTACTACAAATAACCATCAACAACAGTCATTCACAGTCATGCCTGATACCTTCCCCACAAATCTTACAAACACTACGGCAACGGTATCGGATGGAAATTCGGTTTCCTCCAAAAAGCGTAACTCTGACGAAGCTGAATTAAATACAGATGCCACACAAGAGCCTGCTGATAATCAGCAAGAAAATGGTCAACATGAGGGCGAGAATGTTTCAACGAGGAAAAGAAGAGCTCTTAGTAAAGGGAAAAAAAATCAAGAAGCAGAACCGGAAGCAACTGATTCATCCGTATTTAATGTACCCGTAACCGAACCTGATCCCCCAGCAAAAAAGACACGAGCACGACGCAATGTCACATCAAACGGAACTTCAGCTGTTGTTCCTTTGCAAGAAGACACCACAACGAAGAGACGACGGGGTAGAAATGCAGCATAATCTTTTCTTGCTCGATTTACGCTATTTGATTACTTCGAACAAAATATAATTACATTTCTTTTTATTAGTTCAATCGTTTCTGAGAAGCATTAGAGGAACTTTAGACACATCTTTAAACAATAATAAAGTAGATAGATTTTGTCGCCTATTTTTTTTTTCTAGATTTTTTCTTTTATACTTGTTTTCTGTTTGTTTTTTTTTATTTCCTCGTAGAATTCTTTGTGCAGTTCAATTGCGCATTTAAGTTGGTGTTTGTATAGCTATTACATTCTTATCTACTGCACAAACTTTTCGCTTCTACTTGCTGCAAGTTTTCAATGTAAAATAATTTTTTGCTTTTTTGCTTGAATTACCACCACCACTCTCCAATTATATACATACATTACACGCACAAAATAGCAATAACACATACACACCACGCACACCAAAAATGTAAATATTTTCTTGTGTCTGCGACTTTTCGTTTTTAATAAAATAAAATTGTTTCACTACGCGTCTTTAACAATTTAAAATTCTGCATATGAACGCGTTTGATCGCTGAGTGATATCTCGTTGTCATCACTAACACTAAAATTAATATACAAACCTAATCATAAATAATGCAAGCTTATGTATATATGCAACATTTAATAAATAAATTATTTTCCATATCAATATGATCATATTGACCGCCCGCGTCCACGTCCCCTTGCTCGGGTACCTTTTCCTCTTCCGGCACCACGTCCTCTTCCACGTGAACTACCACCCATTGATTTCTTGGACGTGTTTGAATTTGATGTTTTTGCACGTGAAGTTTTTTTAGTTGGTCGAGGAAAGAACCGCGAATATTTTGCAGTTTTTGATTTCTGTCCTCGTTTTAACATTGAAAAATCTTTGTCATCATCACTATTACTCTCTTCAGAACTATCATCCGAACTTGAAGTACCAGATGTCATATTGACATCATTATCCTCTTGTGCTTTGCCCTGCTCGTCGGCAACTTTACGCTTTTTGATGTTTTTTATTTCATCATCGTCATCATCATTTTTACGGTTCCGTCGAGTAGCACGTGTTGTTGAACTTTGATTACTTTCCTCTGAATCATTGTTCTCTTCAGAACTGCTGCTTGTTCCAGATTCTGATCTTTTATCTTTTCTCTTCCAATCATCAACTATTCGTTGAATTCTTGCACTTTTGTGTTGTATTTGTTTGTTTGTTTTAGGAAAATAATCTCCGGTTCCACCTGTCATATCGAAAAAGGAATCAATCGTGGTTTGTTGCCTTTGTGCGCTAATACTTTCGGCCTGATGGACAATAAATGACAATCGTTTCATATAGAAAGTAAATATAAAGATTATCAAGAATTTACTGAATGTTCACTTACATTCCGTTGATTCATATTACGTATTATTGGTATAAGCGTTTCATCTATCTTTTCTTGAGCCCATAGAAGATTAGACATCAGAAAACTAAGGAATAATATATAAATTAATACCCAAAAATCTTGATGATAGTGCTTTATACGATAAAATGATAAAACGCACTTACTCCGTCAGCGCATTTAGATCTGGGACGCCCCATTCGATTGGAATTGTAGAATCATCAACTTGGGGATTAATGTATGCCTCTCGCACATGTCGATTCAGAAAATCATCAGGTAATATTAAATCTTTTCTGCTCTTTTTCTGTTAATGAAGAATAAATAAATGTTTTATAAATGAGCAAAAACAACATACTAATTTAGGGATACGTGGGTCATTCATGAATAATACTTGCAAATTTTTTTCTAAAAGAATTTTCTGCTCCTTCATTTGTAGACAATCCACTTTGCACACTATTCCACCATTCCTCGAATTTTTCTAATCCATCATTACCGGAAAATTCATTCAGTATTTCCATTGCAGTAACCACCCCGACCCCCGGTAATCCTTCGGTATAATCACTTCCAAGTAGATATGCCAATCGAATAAGCTTTTCCCGATCCAAATTCATTTCTTGTTCAAGATCTTGCATCAGAAAGCATTCTACAAATTGTTGTTGGTTAAACATATTTTTGTAGACTCGTGTGCCACCAAATAGGAAGATATCACTGTCGTCGGTCACTATGCCATCGACTAATGATAATCGACAGAGTTCGGCGCATTGTGCTTCAGCTTCCATTGGAGCAACGATATACGGAATTCCAAATAATTGCAATAGTTGCTTTTATGAAAATATTTTAGCATACTCGATTAATGAAAAAGATGATTAAAAAGAATTAATGATTGATTTCATACTTGACAGTCATTAATCATGCTTTGTGTTAATTCGTCGGTATCACGCATTTCACGCCTTTGCTGTTGATTCAATGTCTCAATCTCGTTCTCCAATTCTCGTCGTATTTCATTCAAGTCTCTATGCTTGAGCTGGGACATAAAACGTGCGAATTCGGAATTTTCCTCTACCATTTGAGTTGAAACGTCATCTGCGTTTGCATTATCATTTTCTTTGATCTCATTAGTTTCGGCCTCTCTACGATTATCATTATCGATTGACGTGGTTTCTTCCTGCTGATTGTCGTTTATTAAGTTTAAATCAAGCTCAGGTTTACTTTCAGTATTAACATTTGTAGTGATGTGTCGTTTAATCTCAATGTCTTTATTCGATGAAACGGATTGAGATGATGATTCATTAATTTCTTGCTGCATCTTTTCAACGTTTTTGTTTGCTTTATCGGACGTACTCAAGTCGTTTACGTCCGATGCTAATCCATTTCCTTCATATTCTGTATTATTAACTGAGTTCTTTCTTTGTGAGCCAATGTCTATTGAATTTGATTGCATTGAGAGTTCTTCTCTTGAAAATGAATCAACTTCTAAAGAATCATCCGTTTCATTGACACTTGAAGCTTCCATCGTGTTGGATAATAACAATGTATCTTTATCGTGACGTGCATTTTTCGTATTATCTTCTGATTCGTAATCATCGTCAATAAAAAAGTCAGAATCTGATGTTTCCATTTTTGAAGTCTTATCTATCACAATTTCTTTCACGTCAGTACTTCGCATTTGTCGCCAAGCAAGGGTGGTTCTTAATAAATTTCTCCAATATTCAAATATTTTTAGCTTCTTTTCGTCACCATCTTTTAACTTTCCTAATTTCTTTTCGACAACAAATTTTTGTGATTTTAACTCTTCTTCATCCCATTCATATAAAGCAGTGCGGACCAAAGTCTCGTGATTAGAAAATTCATCACGAAAGTCAGGCGGCATACGCGAAACCCAAAGGGCATAGTATGACTCCAAAGGTAAATCGAGCTCCTCCTCTTAAATTTATAATTAAAAAAAATAAATATCAAGCTAAGGCGATTTATTTTGAATTTATCAAATTATTACCAGTCTGTCCTTCGGAGAATAATGGCTCATGAGTTTTATCGAATGCATTGAATTTTGCCATTATTGTCTCGATTTTCTCGTCCTCAGCAACATAATTCTCGCTTCTTTCAATTTCATCGGAGACGTCAGCTGTATTTAAATAGTAAACTCAAAAGTCATATAATTCTTCTAAAAATATAAATTTATAAAAATAGACATGAAGCGCAAAAATCTTGCCTTTCAAGGTATCAGGGTATAATTCTGGTGGTAGTAAGTCTTCGTCCTCATCTAAGTTTTCATCATCATCCAAATTTTCTTTTTCGTTAAGATCTGATGCTATGCTTTAATAATGTCCAAATTAGAAATTAACAAGTTGATAAACTAAAAACATGCTTTATGAACAAGTTATTTCCTTACATGGATGCATTAACTTCCTCCCAATCATCATTTTCGTCGGATTCGGAACTAGATTCGAGTTTAATAGGCTTTGTCTTAGATTTTCCCATCGTCCAGCCTCCAAATCCGTCATCATTTTTAATCAAGACATATTCTCGGTTTCTTTCCGCCGCAATACGAACAGGTTGCGGAGATTCAGTAGTCTTATTATTACCGAGAGCATTATTACCAACTTCCATGAATTTTTGTGTCATATTATTGCGATGCATTAGATTTTTTATTTGAAGCTTTGAGAAATCAAGGGCCGTGTATTAACTTAGAGTTAATGCTAATATTTGGTTTTTGAAATTTGTTGTAAACAGCCAGAAGAAAATCAAGGATATCGGAGCCTTTTTGATCATATTCTGTAACCTCTCATAAGAGGTCTGTCGACTTTTCAGACGCAATTCGCCCACGATTTCAAATTGCATTTCTAAAGGTAAACTGCGAAATCCTTCGGAATCGATATCAATGTCGTCAGACTAGAGAGAAAAATCGTACGCTATAAGGAAAGGGCACATTGGATTTATTTTCACATACAAAGTTTTACTTACGTTTACTTTAAACTCTTCGATAAAACGTCGGAGATCCTCTTCATTAGCAAATCGTATATCGTCCTTTTGAATCATAGATCTGAAGTAAAACGATAGGTAAATTTTTGGTTCGTGTATTGTCAGGACATAGTTATTAATTGCATAGTTACTCTATTCCTCCGATAATCGGCGGCAATTCATATTCATCCCTTTTTTTACGTTTATGGAGTTGTGCAGGGGTTAAATTATGCTCGCCATAATAAACTGTGTTATCAGTGATTACTGGCTGGCTCTGTGATTCGGTGTTTGGCTCGGAATCATCACTATTGAAATAGAGATTTGATGAAGGCATTGATTGTGTGAGTTGTAAATTTTGTTTAGAGTATTCCCGATTATATTCACCCGCGTTTTATGAAGTATCAATAACATAAAAATTGACCTATAGGCGTCATCAAAATTTAATTACTTTTTCTTGTCGGATTCCTTGATCGCGCGAAGTCGCAATTGATTTGCCAAGATTTTTTCCGCAGTTTTTTGTAAATTTTTGGTTTTGCCAGCGCGTCGCTTACGTCGTTCTATAACAATCAGCAAAGATAATAATCCCTTGAGGCAGTAAGAAACATGATCCCACAGTAGAATTGACGAGTCTTTATTATTTTTATAACCAACCAACAACAGTTTGACGTTTCAATGCGGGTACACCCCCATCAAAAACAAACACCGGCTTTATGTTATAAAATAAAAGCTTGCATATTCGACGGAAAAATCCCAGCAAATGAGCATTTTTTAACGAATTGCCTTCTTTATCGCGCATCGCTTTAAGGAATTGATGTAGCCAAATACTAGCATGTGATCACACGAAAAAGATTTAAGGATCAATTGAAATAAAGGTAATTCGTTTGTATATTTTTATTTGATAATGCCAACATAAGGAACTCTATGCTAAATTTTCCTAATTAACAGTGAATTTCAAGCGCTTCAACTTTGTTTCAAGGTAAGGATATCAATAGCAAGCTTTTTGTTATTTAAAGACTCCAGCTTTATGGGTCGTGCAACAGGTTCTAACAAGCTCCAAAGTCCTTTTACTCCCATGTTGTAAGGTACACCGATCGCTGATTTAGTATTTTGGGTGAAATTATATTTTGAACGAATAATTGAAATAACCAATCACAAGATAATCACGAAATAATGCTTTATGTTATGCTAATCCATAATTTTATTATAAGGTCAGCTGACATTATAAAAGATGAATTGAGGATTATCAAATGGAAAACACTAATATAAAAATTGAATATAGCATATATTAATATTGCTATAATCCAACTCTTGTTTATGTTGAATAATGGAACAACTCTTCGGCGCTAAACCTTCATCAATCCCAAAATTCACGTTTCCGGTCGCGCAATTGATTTCGAGCGATCTAAAAGGGAGAGAAGCTTGTAAGTGCTTTTAAAATTAGTGAGAGAAAGGTAAATTTTCTCCTTGTCCATTTAGGCTGATTCTTCCTTTCGTACGTACACGCAATTCTAGTATGTCTGGCTACATTAAGGTCGCTTCTCACGACTTATAAAATTCATTTAACCATAAACAGCGTGCTCGACTGCACGCCCTCTCTTTTCATTGTTTGTTTTGAGAAACTGTGTGGATATGTACCCGACCTTACGCGTAAAGCGGGTTCTCAAGAATCACGCCTAAGAAATATACGAATTATCTTGGGAATATTAGCGCACGATGTGTTGCAAGCCGATCTGTCGCATATTTCACCTGAGGGCCTATGTAATGGTGACAAAGAGTCAATAATGGCTTTGATTGAGCTTTTTGCTGCTTTGCAAAAGATTCCCGAGGACCAACGTAAGAAGAATCGAAAAAATAGCAGCAAAGATACAAAAGCGCAACATATGGAACTTAATGATAAGGAGAATATTGGTCTAAAAAATCGAGATATTTCTGTTCCTTCCGACTCTACACCAAGTGAAGATGATATAGTTTCGATCAATTCGACATCTACACATAAAATGGATTTCGGACATAGAATCCAAGCCGATAGGTATCAACCACTGATCGAAAATAAACAAAGGCTGAAAATGAAATTTGATTTCGGGTCGTTTAGTAAATCATCCGATACACCCAAAGATAGGCTATCTGGCACAGGTAATAGGACTGCTTCAGAGAATAGCTCAAAGTCGCATGTTATTCAGAACAACTATAATAAAAGAAACCCAGATGGTCAAAATCTACAGACCGGTATGCAAGAAAATTTACAAATTTCTATTAGCAACATCTCATCCATGGAATTGAACGAATTATCTTTCGATAGGTTACAGAAATGTCGGGGTACAAACCATTAACATTGATCCCAAATCATCCTCAAAGGTCATTAATAAACAAAAAAGGACGATTCAACATTCACCACCATCATCATCATCAACATCATACTTCCGAGATTTTTCTAAAGACAAACATGGTGTGCCGCATCAAAGGCATGCACAATCGCAAAACTACAAAAATACACGGCAACAAAGTGAAACAGAATCGTCATCAGCTTCACAAAATCCTCGCAAACGTGTAGCGGATCCATTTAAACTGTCTACTGAAACTTCCAAAAGAATAAAAACGGTATGATTAACGGTAATAATACAACGTAAAAACTTGTTTACTTATTTAAAATTTACGCGGGATACATCACCTCATCTGCGCTGTCTATTTTTAGAAATTATCTCGTGATTCTTTTGAGCGGTCGAGCATACCACAAAATCTTCGTATCAATCCTACAGACACTCCTTTTACTCGAGCGCTTAAAGAGCGACGTGCACGTCTCATTAGAGAGAACGATATGTTAGCTTCGGAGGGTAAACAACGAAGCATATATCTAAGTCGTAAAATTTCCGAGGCTTCTAAAAGACTTGTAAATATTAAGTACGGAATATCTCTTGAAAAAAGAAAAGATGATTCATCGAAGCGAGGAAAATACGATCAGCGCACCTTTGCTAGTCGAAAAAAGGCTGGTATCCCGTCTGCATCTTCGGACGCTACTGATGACAATTTATCAGAAAGAAATTATCACGGATCTGAATTTTCAGCAGGTTCAAGTAATCGTTTTGAGGAGGATACACAACCTGACACGGAGGGTGCCTTACCTTTATTAGCACGCTATATTGAGCATGAGATTCCCGGAAGTAAATTCCCCGAAAGGTTCAATAATCGTATTTGGAAGCATGAATTGGAAAGGTCGAAAAAATCTATTGAAAAAGAAAGATGGCAAGAAGTTGTCAATAAGGTTGCTTTATCTTCTATCTTTACTTAAAATCAAGTATAATTAAAGTTTCTAAATGCATTTCTTTATTTAGGGCAAGGAAAATAAAATACAACGTGATCACGAAGCGAGAGCTATTAAAGTACTAGAGAAAAACTTTGAAAGTGAACGACGATTAGTAAATATTCCATGATTGATTAATTTCTCTTTAACTTTGATTTTATGCTTATGGAATTTTGTTAATATTGACAAAGGCAAAAGAAAAAGAAGATGCAGATGCTCTTCGAGCGCATCAATATGCTTGTAAAGAGCAGCAAAGACAAACCGCCAAGCTAAGGAAAAAACAACAAGAGGTTGAAATAGACGTAAAGAACATAGCCAAACAAAGGGAATATCGCGAGGAAAAAGTAAATCTTTTATTTTTAATTTAAAATTTCTATTTGAATTTATTAATTGTCCGTTTTTTTATCGAATAGCTGTTGACTGATTTGTATAAGGATTGTTATAAAAATCAATCTTCATCGTTACAACAAACAACGCGTGATAACCTTAGATTAAATGAAAATAAAGAAAATCAAGGGAAAGAGGGTGTGAATAGTTTTATGAAGGAACAAATCTTGATGCTGGAAGCACAATTAAAAGAACTAAAGAATAATCAGCATATTGCGGATAAAGCCCAAACACAAGTATGATGTTTTTCTGGTGTTATTTTATTAATTAATGAATTTTATCTTTTGTTTAACAAGCATTTATGGTAGGCTTTACGGCAATTAGAAAGAGAACAAAAACGTGAATTATATAATAAAATAGATAATCTTAGGGAACGATTGAAAGGGGCATACGAGAAAAACTTTGTTTGCTTGGAAGATGAAGCCAAGCGTATAAGGGAAGGATTTCGAGTATAATATGTTTCTGAATGTGCCTAATCTTTAGGAACAATTGTATTGAAACCCTGATTAGATAATATTTCAGAATTATTTTATTTCTCAAACCTATTTATTTATTTTATTTATAGTCAGAATATTGTTTGTTTATTTGTGCTGATTGTGCCGTTAATCGTTCATTAAACAGATGAAAACACTTTTTTTTAATATTGTTTAGGGAATTAATTTTCTAATTTTGTTGCACTAATTCTAATGCATTTTTAAAAGTTCCTAGTAACGCGGAAACTTGGAACTTTTCAGTTCCACCTTTAGCGAGTCTGTAACTAAAGCATAATAAATAATATAAGAAGCAAGAACCAAAAATACACAAGGTAGAGCAACATCTACTAGCTAATGTCCCAGGGTGTAGAGATTGCAGCTGGATTTAATTTTCTTAAATCCGAATTTGAACCGGTTTTTGGATATGAAAAATAAATCCGGTTGCAATCGTTGCTAGGGTGGGGGTGTTTCGCCATGATGTCAAATATCCCAGGAGGGATATTTTTAAATCGATACTAGCTAATATCTGTCACTCATAAGATTGCAACGGAGACACACTCACTCAATATTCGCTAGGTTATCCAACAAGTAAATTCGCACATCTGCTGGAAGCTGATATGATTCTAAATATTTATATATGTCCATTATGATATCCTGTAAAGCTATTCCTTTCTCTGTTTTTATTTTCATCATCACTACAAATTATATATAAGGGATTACTTAAATTTATATCATAAATACAATTCAACAAAATTATTACTAACTTGAATAAGCCGCAGTAAATTCGTTGCCTGACATCGCTTCAACTATATCTTTGATACTTTGTGGTTCTGGATTCCCAGTGCAATTATACACCGCATTCTCATCAATTCGTTCATAGGCAGCATGACAAGACTTATTGTAAATAGTAAATTTTATTAGCTTGTAAAAATTTAAATGAAGCCCAATATTCAATTTACCTGAAGAATGTTTAAAGCTTTACGCATATCGCCTCCAGAAAGTTTCATTAACGCGTTCTTTCCTTCCTGTGTGATGTTTACGCTATTTCAATGTCAATATATGATATGTAAAATAAAAAAGAGAAAGACATAGGATTTACGCCTTACTTTTCAGCATCAATAATAAAATTTAGACGTGTTTCAATCTGATCGAGTTCTAACGGCGAGAATCGAAAACGCGTACAACGTGATTGTATTGCTGGAATTATTTTGCTAACGTAATTGCAAATGATGCAAAAGCGAACATTTTGCGTATATTTTTCAATAACTTTTCTCAGAAAGAAATGAATATCAATAGAAATTAGAGAAAATCCCAAAATAATATATCATAAATTGTGCTATCTTACTTCGCCTTAAAGCATTTTGAGCTTGTTGAGTCATAGCATCCGCCTCGTCCAGAATAATCAATTTAAAGCCAGAACTAGAAAATTAAAGATTGAGCGCAAATGAAATTATCAAGTCGAAATATATTAGGTGATTTGTTACCTGAAGATCTTACGCGTGCTCGCAAAAGTCTTTATCTCTTCTCGAACCGTATCAATGCCCCTTGTATCTGATGCGTTCATCTGTTGTAAATGTTGTTGGTATTTTTATATTAAAGTTCAATTTTATGTTAGTATAATAAATAGACAGTTAAAACAAACCTCCATGATCATGCTTTTCCATTTCGGTCCATATAGTTTTTGGGCACATGCAAGTATTGTTGATGTTTTACCAGTGCCAGACGGACCATAGAACAATAGATGTGGTAATCGATGCTCTTCAATGAATTTTTCGACTAAATCAATCGAAGCATAAGCATGCAGTTTATCACGACATTCGAGGTCAAAAAAAAATTACATGATAATCTCAAATTTATCTATACTTGTGGATATTATGACTTTGTGCGAAACGAGTTCATTGAACGTTTTTGGACGATATTTTTCCACCCTAATTAAGTATAAGAGACGTGTTTTTTTAATTATCTTACAAGCGTGTTGTAGGCGTTAGCAACGAACCAAGGTAAATTATCATCCGTCGGTGGAGCAATTTCTGGCTGGTCAATGACTTTTCCTTTTCCTTTTAGCTTGCTGTTTGATTCAAATCTTATGGGCGAGGGAGATCTGTCTCTCTTCTCTTCTTCATAGTCCATGATATCGTCATCCATAATAGAGTGTTAGAAATTACTTGTCGCGTAAGATTTTCGAGTTGTATATCAATGTAGATCTCGGGGTAGCCGGCTTGTACTACATTCATTTACAGAAGGGGTTGGCACTTGGCTACAGCTAAAGAATTTTTTGGCCAATCGGCCAGAATTTGAGCCATGGCATCCTCCCCTTTTTTAACACGAAACTATAATCGTTCAGATTGGTATAAATGAAAGTCCTCAGTCAAGGAGGATTATAGAAGCAAATGTGATTTGTTTCGAGTATCATAATAAGCATCAATAATCGCGAAAATTCACTTTTTATTTGAAATCTAGTAACTAGTGAATTTATAAGGTCTCTTTCAGAAGATATCTTCTCTCGCTTAAAATCTTTTAAAAGATTCTTTACAAAAAAATGTATGACATAAAAATAATAATAAAATCGCAGACTTTTTACAAAATTTTTTGTAAAATCAAAGAAAGCTATATGAACAATGAAAAAAAAATATTCGTCAATGTGTGTGAAGAAATAAACATAGGAATAAAGTAATAAATCATTACACGTTCACACTGAAATTTTGCTACTACTACACAGAGATACCAAAAAATATGCTCAAGACATAAAACTTATCAATAAAAAATAAATTTGTTGCTGTCCCCTCTTCAACATAGATAATAATAAATCCTGATTCTTACGATTCTTACAAAAAACAAATAAAAAATCGTGCAAAACTATGTACATTGGGTAAAGATATAAAATAAAAAGCAACTAAAAATTGCGGGTGAGCAGGACCAAAAGTGTGGAAAATAAATAAAATATATAGATATATATATATATATAAATGTATGTATATATATATGTGTGTGTGTATCTATATATATATATATATTAATTATATATAAAATCCTTCAATGGAAAAACTTAGAATTGAAGGTTAAATGCGTGTTTATGTGATGAGAAATTGTTATTTGATATGAGAATGATGATAAGAAAAAAATCAACGTAATAAAGGAATGTAATATGTCTTACATTTCTATGCACATGTAGCAAATAACATGATGTGCAGGAAAGAAGAACAGTTGGGTTGATGGACAAGGATATATATAAAATATGAATTGAATGATGTATGTTCACCGCGCATGTAAAAATAAAATGAAAAAAATAAAACGCGTGAAAAAATAGTTTGTGAAATGCGAAAAAAGTTTATAATATATACAAACAGATATAAATTCGACGTTACATATTTACACAGTACATATACACATACACACTCACTAGTCAATATTCGAAGAATTTTTATTGAACTTGTAAAGTGTGCGAAAAATGTCTTTTAGTACTGGAGTAATTCTTGACAAATCTAGTCATTCTCGATTTTTCTCCAATGTTCCTCCACTACTAGCTGCTACCACTTCACCAGCAACTTTTCTTGCTAGCATTTTTCTATAAGTTTCATCATCATCTTTATCATCTTCATCATGGACATCCTCCATTGCGTCACTGTTTGTTCCAGTCGTGATAATATTTATTGATGCAGTCGGGCTAGTCAATGTGCTACCAAAAATAATGGAAGCGAGGTTTCCATTTGATATACTAGAATTAGAGCCACGACTACTAACGGAAGATGTACTTGCACTTCTGTGCAGCAATCCTGCAGGCTTTGGAAGTAATGGTGGCGGAGTAGTTGATCTTGATTCATCCATTGATCTACGAGCGGCGGGTGGCACCGAAGAAAAAGGAAATTGTTTAACTATTGGTGAGACGGAAGATAATGTACGAATATGGGCTTTATTAGGACTTTTAGGTGATCCTCTTTCATTCCCCGATGAACTTCGTGAAGGTGATAATGCAAGATTGCTATCGTTATTTGTTTTCACTGAGGAAGACGGAGATTTTGGTAACTCGGCCGCAGGCTCTGATCCACCAAACATTACTCTCATGGCACCCGTTTTCCAACTTGTACGTTTAGTTGATACCGGATTTGTTAATACTTCCACGTTAGGATTAGAAATGTTCGATTCTTTCTCCTTGCTAAATTCAATTTTATCATTATCTTTTTCAAATTCTTCATTTTTAGATTTTTCATGACGCTTTTCTTTTTCATCACGTGCTCGATCCAGACTTGTCCTTGGTCTGAATAAGAAATTTCCTACTTTTTCTGTAATGTTCCTTTTTTCTTTCTCTTTCTCCTTAGTACTCCCGCCACTTCCATTACCATTCTCTCTATCTTTTTCCAGCATTGGTATTGCTTTTTCTAACCTGGTCACGATAGATGATGATGAATTGACTTCAGATCCTTCACCCAAACTGTTTGGGCGTGATTCTCCACTTCCACTCGTTGAACTGGTTCTTCCTCTTCCACTACTTGTGCTGCCATTCCCTCCTGTACTAGTTCCACTGCCACCAGCTGTACTACCGGTACTTTCCCGAAGTTTATTGCTCGAATTTGATATGATGCTAATTCCATTCCATGTTCCACCATTTGCACTATTTCGTTGAGAATTAGAGGAACCATTCATGCTTTTATGTTTTTGTGGTTCGCGCAGCTTGCTTAACTCGTCAACTAACTTTTCAGGCATCCAATGTCGTGTTAATAAATAATGAGTTAAAAATTGTTGTTGTTCTTCAACAGTTTCGTTATCTTCGTCATGTCTCAGATGCAGTTTATTTCCACCACGATGTAACGCAGCACTGATGCTAGCAGTTCGAAAATGATGTTTCGTTGAAGCTTTGATGTATGAAGCAGGCGGTTTTGACGAATATTTAGGTCCAGTTTGATATCTTTTCATGGATTGCAACAATTCTTGAACTCGCGGATCATCCTGTACAGTTGAGTTCCCTGATGAAGCAAGTCCAGGTGTGATAGGATTTTGATATGTACTACTATTTGGGGTAACCGATCCTGATGATTGGACTGCAGCCAATAAATATGTTGCATCCATGATAAAGGGACCTAAAAATGGTATAACTGGTTTTCGTGTAAATTTCTCTTGCTGCAATGTTTCACGATATTTTCCATAGTTACTTGATTCACTCATCAATTCATTCAATGAATCCAATTTCGTCATACTTTTTTTGGGAATACAAGCCCATGTTCGTTTTAACCTCTTTATTGGTGGTGTACCTAAGGCAGATAGAATGCCCTTTAATGTTTGATAGTTGTGCAATTCATGCAACTTTATAGCTACTTTAACCCAATAATGAATAACTAGAGCACGCGCCGAGGCTTCTTGTGGTGACAATATAGAACTTTCTATAACACGTGTTAAATAATTAAAGAAATCTGTGGATGCTGTTATTTTTGGATCCGGATGTTTTGGAGAATGCGTGAGCAGGGAAAGTGGGTCAATTTCCAGGAATATAGCAGAATCAATCAATGTCAATTGGTAAGCAACCATATGAGGTGCGAAATCCAATATATTCGGATCTGCAGCAGCTTTGAAATATAATTTTCTATTTCGGGTAATCGCTTCCTTCGAACTTGCTAAACTTGCTCCGTATTTAAGAAGAGCGTCGTTAATTTCATCATCAGATAATTCACTATGATCTGTTTCCCCTGCCCGTCGAGCTTTCAGTATATTGCGATACTCAGTCAACTTTACCTCCAATGATTGAATTTTTTGTTCAAGCTGTGAATGCTGGGTGAGTAAAGGAGAAACTGGTATTTGAGGTATATGATCTGAATAACTATGAGAAGGGGAATTGGGTGAATGTGAATTTTCTGTTTCATTTAATACATTTGCTTCGACTAAATTATTTGGATCAACGGCCCCTTCAGGTACTACGCTAATTATGTCATGCCTACGTTCGAACGGAAGCAGATTCGTTATTGAGTCGTGGAGTGTCATTCTAAATGGTGCAAATAGGTGAAATCTCGAACTTGGCGATATTATGTGAGAAGAATAATTTTCTTCATCTGTTGGGGAATCAGTAAGCGAACCAGGTAATGTAGATATTCGCCTATTCGTTTTGACTGAAAGGTTAGGGGATGATGAACGTCGAAGAAGTATTGGTGCTGTTGATATATTTAAAGATTCATCTGATTTCCTTCTATACGCATCTATAGAGGACTTTTATTTAAAATATATTTTTAATAAAACTACGTATTAAATAATAAAAAATACCATTATTTTTCGCAAGATATTCATCGTCATCATCTTCATCATCAGAATCAGAAGTGTCAGCTTCATCTCCATCTCTTTCATCGTCATCTCCTTCAACACCTTCCTCGACATCATCGTCTTCTTGACCTACATCAAAATTCTCTACCTCGGAAACGTTCTCTAGTTCTTTATCCGGAGGAAGAATTTGTGCATCTCTGCCCATGCCTGATACCTCCACGTCTCTAAAATATTTTTTTAGACTTCCTGTCCGAGAAGGTTTTGGTGGTAATGGTGGTTTAGAAAATTGTGGCGATAATGAAGTCTCGTTTTTTGGGGATGTTACTAAGAATTCTTCATCATCCTTACTTTTTGTCATTGACCGTCGAGCAGGCTTTGGAGGTATTCGTGGAGCTTTTTGTGCCGTTATTTGATCAAACGAGTGCTCCTCTTGTGGCGTGGGCGGATAAATGGCAATATTTAAATTTGGATTTTTGCGTGACGGACTTAATGGTTGATGTTTTAGAATTATATCTTCGGCATAGGTTAGACACTTTCGTGATATTGTGAATACTGAATTTATTGACGAGGGCTTCGAGGTCACAACTAAAGTATAGATAATTTATGGTTAGAAGCGTTTTTCTCTTATGCTTGATTAGCAAACATACTTTTGGTTGGTTATTAATGATAATACATTAGTTCGAAAATATTTTGAGTTGAATGTTAATTGAACTTGAATTTTAAAATGGAAATGAGCGTACCGTTATTTATGAACTTTATGCTTTGTAGTTCTTTGGAAGCAAGGTTGAGTGCACTTATATATGAAAAGTAAGCATCCTATCCGCGCGCAAGTAATTAAAGTGTAAAATAAGAACAAGAAATATTTTTTAATGAGCATAAGAAAGGAATTGAGAAGCCCGTCAATTAGACAGAGAATGATTGAAATTCTGCAAAGACGGGAACTTGCCACAACCTCTCTCGCATACCTTTACGTTTCCAGAGGACAAGTTGTCAGCCGCCGTCTCAAGAAGTTGTTGTATTTCTTCCATTATTTTGAATCAAAGTACCCCTTGATGAACGTGTTCGTGCCTTGTCCAAAGAAAAAAAATGCAAATTTGGCGGTTTCGCTGTCTGTATAAGGGGGTGTGGTGGTTGGGCGAGTAGCATCGATAATGATTGGTGGGAAATTTCGGTGTACAAAATCAATAATATCGGACACAGAAACTTATATACTTGTAATCATCGGTATAAAAGAGGCTGTAGGGAATATACATGTAGAGTACATTAATAATTATACGGTAAATATTTAGTTGGAGTATAAATCCTATTTGAATATAAAGTTGATCTTTCAATCCAAAAACGAACTTAATGAAACAACGTAAAACAATAGCGAGATAGGGAGATATAATCTTTACTCATTGATCCGATCAATGTAATGGTCAATTAAAAAACCAAAAAAGTATGTCCAGATCTTAACGTTAAAAATAGCCATCAATATGAATTATGGATTACAATAGGAAACACTCGTGAAATTTCTTGCAGTGTATAATTACGCGCGCGTGAGATTTGCTCATCAATACTTATCCATATTATGTTATGCATGTTTGTATATATTCTGTACATTTAAAATATGATATACATATAAATGCACAGATTTAATATATATTCCCTATTCACAAAATCAATAATATAAATAAATAATACCGATACGACTCAGGGTCAGGTGATTGACGACCTATATAAAATGAGAGAACAAGCACGTTATCATTAGTTTTCGAGAAGAATTACATATTATTTCAGATGACGAATTTTGCGTCAACTAATAATGATTCAAATGTCCCTTTACGTTACATCAATTACACCTTGAACATGTACTTTTATAAATATTATTGGTAACTTAAGGAATATAGTCAATATCGATACATGTACTAAATAATCGCACGAACTATTTATAAACTAGCATTTTTGTGCTATTAATACATACCACACTCATTAATACATTGTGCAAGTATTTTTAGCATACTTTCCTGATCGTCGTATTTTATTGCCGATTCATTTTAGTCCCAAAAGCAAAAATGTTATATTATCAAAAATCGTAAGCCAATAATATATTTCTCATGAACGGTCCAGTAAGTAGTTCAAAGTACATCCACTACATTACACTGATTTGTATTTATAATGATGATAAAGATATGTATGTACTATTTATCTATATACACAATGTTTCTGAATTAAAAAATAGATGGTAAACAAACACCATCATAACAATAATAATAATAAATAATAATAATAATAATAAATAAACCAACAAAAATAATATTCCTATAGATATCTAACTTCGTCAATACCTAAACTTCGTCTAACCTGAACAATCGCCACCAATTCTTTAATAGCTTCCTCCAAAATCACAACGTTATTCAATAAAGTACTTAACGTAATCTCTTTAGGTTTGGCCTCCTTTGTCTTGGTGCTAGTCTGCTTCTTTGATTCAAATATCTCATCTTCTTCTTCGACCACATCACAAGGATCCTCTTCTTCATCCTCATTCACGAAATGATTTGAGATAACCGGATGGATCTTTATACTTTCAGTCTTCATGATGTGAGCTGATAAAGTGATATTCATCGAAGATAACGAGGGAGATTTGAAAGATGACAAGGTAGAGTTGATAGAGGAATTCACAGACGAAGAATCTCCTTGGATAAGTGAATTAGACCTCTTCACGAGACGATTTTTATTGGATGGGCTGACTGAGCCACTTGGAGTCACAATAGCTGGAGTTGTATAATTGGTGTTACTTGATCTACGAGTTCGAATAGGTATGGCTAAGGAAGATGGTGCTCTGAAAAAGTTCTCATCTATTTCATCCTCAGCGTCTAGCAATCCATTACGTCGTTCTTCAAGGAATTGATCGAATCCTTGGATTTCGCTACGAAAAGAAGCAACTTGCTGAGTTAAAGTCTGAAAGATAGTAAAGAATTGAGGATAATTTGTCCACGACGGAGTTGTACCAATAGCCTTGGCCGCCAATGAACTTTTGTCGGCATTGTAATCGACAGAACGATCATCATCTTCGTCGAATTCATTAATTGGTTTTTCTTCATTTTCATTTTGAGGATTGCTATCATGATTTGCAGGTCCAAAACTAACCTCATTTATTTTAGGTTCATTATTGTACATATTTTCTGGAGCTCGCATAATTGATTCACTATTATCAAGACGATCAGCACCGCTGAATACAAGCCAGCCTTCAAGTGAACGATAAGGGCAAACGGCCAATGCGGAAATTACACCGGTAAGTGCGAGATTTAATTCGGGAGAATGTGCAAAGAAACTCGATAAAGTGCCAATAAGAATTTGAAGAAGCGAATCGTTGGGAATTAGACGATGCTTGGGAACGGCAGACATTCCTTTATCGAAATCTTTTTTCCCGTTCTTTCTCTCGTTCCTATATGTTAGAATCGGTTGCCTCGTGTTTTTAGAACCTCTTGGTTTGATCGGTCCTTCCTCTGTCCATTCTACATCTTGTCCATTACGATAACACAGATCTGCCTCAATTATGGCCTCGGCATCTCGAACATAGCAATCGTATCCATTAATGAATATTTTCATATTCTGTTTCGGATCTATTGTCGTGACGAGACTAAAGAATTTATCCAATTCCCGTGAGTGATGACTAATTGTGGTAAGTTTTGGGGTGTTTGTCAAGCTGTCCGCTCCGAAATCTTCAAAATTTTCAAGGTAGTTCGGACGTGGGAAGCAGGTAGCATTCTCGTCTAATTCGATATTCAATAGTTTCAACGAATATCGACAATGTTTCGAAATCACAGTATGCAAAAGCTTAAGTGCAGCGATTACAGTCTGCTGTGATGTTGATTTAAGTCGTGTAAAGATCAAATCTTTTAAGGTGAAACGACCCCTAGCAGTAAAATAAGGTGGTGATGTAATTGAACTTGTTTCTACACCGGCAAATGGATTAATAGTACTTTGTCTTTTTTGTTTCATTGTGCTCTTTTTATTCCAAAAATCTTCATCATCACTATCCGAGTCCATTAAAAATCCAACCACCACATCGACCAATTCCTCTTGTTCCAATGTCTGTAATATAATGTCAATATAAGATATGACCGCGACAGAGGAACCATCCGTGTCAGAGCACTCCATAAGAGACGGATATAAAATATTCTCCAAGAATATAGTTTTGATATTCTTCAATAATTCCAAAGAAATGTCCGGATTTGGACAACGATTCAACACATCCTGACAGAATTCTAAAAGTTTCAAGAAAGAATCGAGTTGTAATATGAATTGAGGTGACGATGAAACTTCAATCCCCCCTTGACGTAATCTATCTAACTCTGTGCTTGTGGTATCACCAGATCCTAGTAAAGTGGCATTAGTCAATCCTCCGCTTGAACTTTTAACCATGAGTTTTCGGGGAAGCTGCGAATAGAGCGCACCTAACCCGGCAGACATGATTGTGGCGAAATCGCTGTCTAAAATAAATTCGCCTAGCTGAGGATCTATGGCGAGTTCCATGATGAAAAGTAAACCTGTTCGTGCAAAGTCACCACTTTTACCTTCCTTATGGACAAATCTCAATAAATATGTAAACAATAAAAATTCATATTCAGGTTTATCTGGTTCTTCGGTGAATTCTGTTGTTTTGGCGGAAGCTTGAGTCACTATACTGTTTGTAGTCATCAATGAAGCATTGTCATCTGGATTCCCATCTTGACTACTATTGGAAGATACGCTTGTCTGTTTTACATGTGTAGACGGGGTTTTTGAAGCTGCTTTCTGAGGGGTAGTGAGCCAATGAGTATTATGAAAAAATATATTAAGTAAATCGGGAAAGCCATGAATTTTTGAACATATGTTGTACATTAAATCCACTAAATCTTCATGATAAATTTCCTTTTCTTCTTCATTCTGTACACAGTCACGTAAAAGTCGTAATGTTGGCTGATGCACAGCATTGTGTACAAGAAATCTATCGTCCAACAGATTGATCAAACTAGCGACCGTGCGAATTACTTCACCGCGGATTCCAAGAGGATGATCTTGTTCGGAAAGCTCAACCAAATCGGTTAAGATGTTATTTCGTAGAAATTCTTCCATACAGACTCCAGTGTTAACATCTTCTAAACGTAAACCTTCGTCTACGAGAAGGTCTACCATTGTTTTGAGCCTTTCTGCGATCTCGATTAACTCAATATTTTCCACTGGTTTTTCTTCATTATCGCTAACCTTGGCTCCCTGATGTTGGAAAAGGTTTCTTTTTAGAGTATGATATTAATAGGATCCATTTTCTTTCAACTATTTTAAAAAAATTTGGAGCCAATACACGTATGCAAATATATATATACACACATATATATAGTTGAACACGTAATTTCCAATATACCTTCTCACTCGCAAGGCTCTTACCTGTATATAGGCCCAGCATTTACGAAATTTCGCTAATTGTTCGGCATGACTAGGTTGTGCTCTCTGTGGTGTTATCCTACTCTTAAAATTTTTAAAGTATTCCATGTTTTTGCGTGGCAAATGCGGCCTGCCTGTAAATAAACAGTCATGTATTTTTCTTTACTATATTGTGTGCATGTTATATACATCACACGAAAATCCGTACCACAAAGGGCACACAAATCGATGGGATTTTTACATACAAAATCTCCAATCCAATCAAATTAGAAATCCGTTATCAGATTAAAATAAAGTGATCTTTTTTTTTTCCCTAAAATATACAAAAAGGAATTACATCTGTTGACTTGGGTCATTACAATGTCCATAATGGCAAGAGAGTGAGAGATGCATTAAATAAATATAAAGAACATATATCACAAATTTAAGAGGGCGTGTATTGTTGTTGATCATAGTGGGGGTGACATGATGTAGTCGGTCAAAGAATTTTGAATCGATCGCTACAACTTCAGCGTGAGAAGACAAATGCAAATAAGAAAAAATAAATTTTGCGATTTCCAAAAATCGAGAAAAACACTCCATATAGAGCACATTTCTATTCGATATTATAATAAAGTCATGTTTTCTTGGCATTATCAAAGCCCATTCGTAATTCGGCGGCTTGCAATAATTGTTGTCGACGTGCTTCAGGACTTAATTGTTGATGTTGATCTGAATCTATGCGATTTTCTGACTCATTTGATTGTAATATTTTCGTGGTTGGTGTGAATTGAAAATTTGATGGTGATGATGATGTAACTTTTTCTTTGACTTGTGATTCTTCTTGTTTCTTTGCTTGTTGTTCCAAATACCGTCTGTCGTGAAAGATAAAGATCATTCAATGTTGAAGTTGAAGAAAGAAAACAAATCATTTCCTGTTCATGTACATACTTTCTTGCCTGCAAGACCATTGCCTCTTTTCTTTTTTGTAACAATTGATGTCGTTTTTCGGACGTAGCTTCCCATTGTTTGGGAGGTTCATTTGGGACTATATCTTTAGCGACAGCTTCATGGAGTTTATATCGATGAACGAGGGATTGGTGGGTTTGAATGTTATTATTATTTATCGCGGAAGAGGAAGAGCTCGCCGATGTAGACGCATTTGTGGTGGTAGATTGAGTAGGAGCAATTGGAGCTATTGGTGGAGGAGGCTATCGGAGGATGAAAAAGAAAGTAAGAAAAAGATGCCAGCATTTTTTATTATAACTGGTAGTGGAAAATCTATCTGTAAAAGTTTACCAACGGTAATCCACCATCTCTCAATATATTATCACACGTTACTTCAACAGACCCCGTTTTCTGAAGATCAAACTGAATGGCAGCGGGTGGGATGTTTGGGAACATAGCACAAACCGTCTCGACCTTTTCAAAGTTACTCATTAGCTCCTTTCCTAAAAAGATCTAAATAAAAGCGTAAAATATTGGTACGAACCATTTCAGGTGTTACCGTCCGTGACCGTACTCTCGATTGTTCTTGTGTTGCATTTCCCCTTCTGTTGACATTTGATGCAGGTGGGGTTGCACCTATGGTTGAGGTACGAATGAGTAAATCGAACTTCAAGAATAAAAACCAAAACTCTTCCGGTAATTAAATACCCAGTAGCCAGCGAAAAATTAGCACAATAACAAAAATTGCAAGGAGAATGCTAAGGCCGTCATTCATACTCATGGGAAAAGATGGTTTCTAAAATTTTCGAGATAAGATGATTTTTGTCAAAAGCAACCAAAGAGTCCCTATTCAACTGATTGCGGCAAAGGGAAATCTAGTACACTAACCGGTTATGGTAATTTTCATCAAGTCACCAGAACGTAGAGTTATGAATTTTACCATTGTTATTGCTTTTTACGTAACTACACAAATTTAATATTCTCATACACAGAATTCCTGAAATTTCATGAAATGTCAACACAACAATCGACGACTGAAAATAACAAATCCTTGACGTATAAGGTTGGCGAGAGATGTCTCTGTTACCATGGGCCTATGATTTATGAAGCGAAGGTGAGCGAGAATTATAAAGGTGGGAAAGAGAAGCTTATAAATTAGAGATTCTTTGTAAAAGTGAAAAGGAAATGTACTTACCTTGATAAACAAATAGATATTGAAAGCTCAAATGTACGAGGAGAAACACCCAGAATCTAATGAGACAGGGCCCCATTATTTGATTCATTATAAGGGGTGGAAAAACACGTATGTTTGGTCTTTTTCTGGTTATACCGGTTCATGTCTTTACTGCCTGAAATGATTAAAATGAATTAGACGATTATTCTCAAACATCCTTCTGCATAACTTATTAATTTTATTTGGCCAAAGTTGGGACGAATGGGTAGTTGAATCACGTGTATTGAAATACAATGAAGCCAATCTTAACAAACAAAAGCAGTTAAAAACCGCTTTTTCGCAAAACAAAAATAAAGCCTCGTCTGGTGCCGCTTCGTCGACAGGATCGATCACATCAACACCCGGAAGGAAAAGTGCAATAGATTCTGCTTATGGATCTCCAGAGAAGGGCAAAAAGAGAAAGCGAGAAATGTTTGATAAGGTATTTTCTTTTTTTTTTTTTTTTACTTGTATGTGTATTATATGTATACATGTATCAGAATTTTATTATAAATATGTTTTTTCCCATTTTTTATAATCAAAGAATGATCTTATTAAACGTCAAAAACTCGCACTTTTTGATATACCTGAGCCATTAAAAGCTCTACTAGTGCACGATTGGGAATGCATTAATAAATCTCACATGGTATGCCCAAATAAAAAAGCCCTAATTATCAATGTTTTGTTTAATATAACTATGTATGTATACGTAGTTGGTACCTTTACCACGGAGTCCAACCGTTCAAATTATAATTGATGACTATAGGCATCATTTGCAAGAGAGGCGGTACGTAATTTTATGTGCATTTGATCCTGACTGTGATCTTAATTGTTTGCTTTATTAATCTACGAAAATTTCCATTATAAACCATGCTAGGGGTGAAATCGGTGATGAAAAGGAAGAAGTACTAAAAGGCGTCAAGCTATACTTCAATAAATCATTGGGTGGACGTTTATTGTATCAGGACGAACGTGAACAGTACCGTGAGATGCGAAGTAAATACGAGGCAGCTGCTGATATTTATGGAGCGGAACATTTGTTAAGATTATTTGGTAGAATATTTTTTGTTCCGTCAAAATCCTTTTTTCATGCTTAATATCATAACACTCGCTGATTTGTCTCTTCCCTTTAATACGACCATATCACAGTTACATTTCCTGAAATTTTAAATCAAACGCTGCTTAACGATGAGATCTTGGAAATGTTAAAGGAGTTAATAGTGGATTTTATAAAGTAATAATCTAAATATTTTTTTTTTAGTTTATTTTTTATATTTAAATGCTGATTGTTATCTGGAATCACTTTTTATTGCCAGCTTCATAAATGATAATCGAGAATCATATTTCTCGAAACATTACGAGAAGATTGATTGATAAAATAAAAGTACAATATTATTAATAATGATTAAACATGGAAATATTGTTCATTAAATAAGTAAGATTGACTGACGCTAAGTGTGTGAGTTCCACCGACCCTTGACGTTATAAATAGCATTAATGGTCCAGATCTATCACGGTAGTACTAATAAACGATGTTCTGGGGCATCATACTAAAAATTCACACCTAACCATAAAAGTCAAGCAACATTACAGCTGCGATGTATAACGAAAACTAAAAAGGACAAACTCCCGAAACACCCAACAAACAAATTTCGTAGACTATTGTAGTGGGATGAATTGACAGCTTTCCAGAAAAAACCGAATTCCTTTATATCGGCAAGAAATGATAGGATGGTGTGTGGTTGAAGTATAACATAACCCTTTCCCCACACTTTTCTCTTTTTCCCATGCCACATGAAATTCGTCCTTTCTGTCAGCCGACATAAATAAAACCAAAACAACATTAGTCGCAAAAAAAAAAATTTAGTTTAAATTAATTAATTAATCACGGTGACACAAATAACTCTTGGGAAATCCAGTATGATATGCTGTATTCGGTAAAAAAGGGACAGGTATCTTGGTAAGATCAAGAAAACATTCGTCTGTACCTTACCATACAGATTGACACCTGATCAACACCGATCGGTTATCGGTTATTCATTCACTTTTATCCAATGAATCATGTGCGATTGCTGTTATCGTTCATTTATCTGCGTCTTTCTTTATCTTTCTTTATTAAGTGTGTAGATTATATATTACAATGAAACGCGGTGCAGAAATGAGAACAAAGAATAAATGAAAGATTACACAAATCTGGTGAATATGGTAATATTTATATTTTTACTAAATGAATACAGGAAATTAGGCACATATTTATTTGAAGGGACAGGACAGGACAGGACAGGACAGGGCAGCAAACACAATTCACAATGTTCTGTGATGATGATGGATGTGATGAATCTGCAATCATTTTTTATAGCATTTTTAGCAAGCACGGGCCTACGAAAAAGAGTGATGGATAATAAATAATTGATTTTTTTATTCTTATGTCAAAATAAAAGAAGGTAAAAAAACAATAATAGTTCACTGTTTGTTGCTGCTGCTGAGTCATCTGAATGTTATTGATCTCCTTACCAACAGGAAAAATTCATTTTATGCAAATTCACTTTTTTGGTGTTATGTTTTTCTGGAGAGAATTGATCTTTTGTGTTTGCATTAACAGTTGTGTGATCCATTGTTTGTTAAATTAGACAATGTGTGTCATTATGCGGCCCGTAGATCCATATATATATGTGGTCCGGTTTCCGACTCGGATAGCATAAAACCAAGAGTTTATTATACTTGCGTCATCATTCAAATCTGATATCACTACGCATTTATAACCGACTTGGATCTGACATAGATTTCAGAGTTATTTTTTTTTCCAATATCACCCTAACCCAACACAACCACCACCACGGTGTGATATTTTCTCTTAAAGAAATTTTTGGTGCATATTTTTTATTAAAAAACTATTCACAGCACACACTCTAGGTATTCCCATTTTAATAAACCGTCAAACGCCGTTGTACTACGAACTCGTACAACCGGCGATCTGACTGACAACACACACAACACATAACATCACCCACCCAAACAACACTCACATCATAAAGACAAACAAAACCAAAAAAAAATATGAATCCGATGCCAGCACTTATTCTCGAAGAGATACTGGAAAATCTTTCCGATGACTATAACACATTATTCTCGTGCTGTCTGGTGAGTCGTGAATTTAGTCAAAAATCGGTGGCAATCCTCTGGCGAAATCCAAAGTTTGGTGCTCCCTTGGCGGGAGATGCTCTCACTAGCCTAATAAATACACTGCTCACATGCCTCGACGGACATACAAAGGAGGATATATCCCTACTACTCGCATGTCTCGACGATGACACGAAAGGTTGTAAATATCATCAAACGGAGATAATTCGACAAAAACCCACATATCCATACGACACACTGATAAAATGCATAGATTTTACCACTTTATCATACGCGCTAAGCGATTGGGGATATTATTGGGGATTAAATGACACGAGTTACCTTTATACCACTCTGGTTAAACATTTGGTACACTCAGTCTCTCGTCTTTGGCATCTTGGAATTTCATATTCGCCACTACTGATACCAGATATCGATATATTTTCATTGCATGATGCAAAAAAAGCATTTTCGGAAATTCAATCATTCAAGTATGACGGACTAAGGAATGCTAAAATAATTTCGTCGATCTCAATTCTCACCAGTAACATTACCAAAATTACAATACAAGTGCGACAGGGAAAAGAAGCCAAACACGAATCAAAATACAACATTAAATACGATAGGGATTGGGATATGTCGGTAGAAAGTCTATTAAGAAATCAAAAAAATCTCCGTCAGGTGAAGTTTGACTTGTCAGAACGTGGTCAATTCTCGGAGAAAGGAATCGAGACACTATTGGAAACAATCTCTAGCAAGGGACGAACGTTAATCAAATTGAAATTTCGTGGGGTCGATTTTCATCAAAAGAATCCAATGTCTTTGTTGACAAAGTGCAAACAGTTAAAGACATTATCGTTTGATACGTGTCGCAATTTCGGAGACGATCCTATTCCGAAATTACGGTTGCCAAGATTGGTAAAACTAGAGATTAAACGCTCTTTATTACCCGTGGAGCATTTACAAAGAATCCTGGATATCTCGTATCGCACCATACGCCAAATCACATTTGACAACTCGAAATATCTTAGCACAATGAACTTAAATGAATATTTCCGGAAAAAAACAAAAAAAGTCTCTGATCTTTCCCTCTTAATCGCCCCATACCAAGTCTGCCAGTTACCTGCTGCCTTGAAATGCTTTCCAAAATTGATTTCGTTAACCATTGATACGTATCGGTATCAAACTTGTCCACATCATGGTAGCAACTTTTTGAGTGATCTCGGTGGAATGTTACCAGCTACTTTGGAATCGTTAAGTTTGATAATGAGGCTTGAATTCACGCCGGAAGTACTCTCCGAATTTTTTGACAAAAGCAAGGCAAAACTAAAAATATTGGAATTTCAAGTGGTGGAGCAATTTTCAGATCGTCATTTGGAAATAATCATCAAAAAGGCTGCTGGATCTCTACGTGCTCTATTCCTATCGGAATCATATAACCTGACATTAAAATCATTGCTGGAGGCAAAAAATAAAATACCTTATATTGTTGCTGGAGAAACCGTTTTAGGAATTGATTATATCAAACAACAGTAAGCATTCTTTTTGATGATTTCTTAGTAATAATTCATTTGATTTAGAAATATTTTAAAAATTCAGCTCAGAAATATATAAACTACTGCCGAAAAGTTCTTGGATGCTTGAAGATGATTTACCACCGCCTCCTGACCCAAGGTAAGCATTTAATTTAAATTTATTCTTGTAAAGCATTTAAATACAATTCTAACGCTATTCTGATCAAAGAAAGCAACGCAGATTTTCTTTACCATTGGAATTCCCGGAATAGGATCAGAGAAGATGAAATTTAAAAATTGTTTGATTATTATTACATACATATATATATATTTAGTATACTTAAAATATTTGAGGATTATTTTTAAAGAGGTAGCGAAAAGTCACGATATATTTGCTTAATTAATGCAGTCTAATAGTTTCGCGATTATCCTTTAATTCCGACTTTCTTAAAAAAAATATCATGTAAAATACGGGTAAATGTTTCTTTCTATGATAATTTATCACGAAATAGATTATCCCAAATCCATTAATAAAAACTGTTTTGAATAATTTAAGTCACAAATATACATTCATAAAGAAAATATTTTCTTTATTACGTAGGTACTCTAGCTATATTCAGGTCAGTTAATGTCGTGATACATTACCTTGAACATGACATGACTTTCTCATTTCTTTTTATAAAAATTAGTAAAACGACGCCTACTTTTCAGTTATTTATGGAGATTTAAAGACACTTAACCCCCTTAGAAATCAAAAAAGGAATTGAATAAATCTGACCGTTGGCTGGGTATCCCGATTTAACTGGTAGGGTATTAAGTCCTTTGCCAGACAAGGACAGAATTGAGCCGAGAGCGAAAACGCAAAAAATGTCAACGTGTTAAAAGTAAAGATGATTTCTGTTTCTAACACTATTTCTACTGCTTTTATTTTGGTTCTGATTATATTTGGTTTGTTTATTTCCTTTATTTCCTTTATTTTCTTATTTTATCATTATTATTGTTAGATTTCAATTTTTATTGCCGATCTTTCCATTAACACAATTGCCCTGTAACGGTAGATTGGGTGAACCTGCAATGTACAGCTTCGTACGGTACCCCCTCTTGCATTTTCTGCAAGAAAGTAATTCCCCACAAGCATTCTTCGATCAAGAACATTATCAAATATTGCGCAATTCTCCGGGAGATCCAGTGCGCCCAATTATGAGCTTCAATGGAGATATAATAACCAACGCCAATTCTGAGAAAAAACACTCATGATTGTGACGCGGATATTGAGTGTGGTGTTTTTTAGAAATTTATGGAGAAAAAAAAACATCCTGCCGGATTATGTGCTTTAAGAGGAATGACTTGCATTTGAAAGAGAACAGAGCAATCTGATAGAACTACAAATTTGTCATTGTATTCTCGACGACCATCTAAGGAAGTATCTTTTATCAAGTGATTTCCATTTTAATATAGCACATCAACTCCCCCCATATGTATGATTCCATTATATAGTTTAATATTTGCTTTGAACCCACCAATAAAAGTTGCTTTCATAAGTTTATTGCTGAATCTATCGAAATCGAGCTTGTGTAAAATTCGCATATTTACAAACCCTAATAGTTTTTTTTTGATTGGCGGTGATAGTAATGATTAGGGTGAAATATCTATAGGTGATATTTCTCTATAAGGTTGTTAGTGGAGTGCTCCAATTTACGTTAAAACATATAACCTATTCCGGTATAGATTATATGTTTTAACGTAAATTGGAGCACTCCACTAACAACCTTATTTCACAGCAATCATAAACAGCATTGTACATGGGACAATTTGACAAAGTTGGAATAATTGTAATAAAAAAAGATTCTACTATAATAATCTGCTTTGGTAATTAAGTAAAAATTCTTAGCATTTTAATCTTGCACGTGTGTATGAATTTTTGATATATTTTTTAAGCTAAACAGGAGTTGGATGGGATCCAAAGCTTTGGACATCCCAAAATGTACAACACTGGTCATAAATATTCTACACAGATCAAATGAACTAAGATTACGAATAAATAAAGGATTTATTTCTATGGAAAATAGTTGAAGTATTCCAACGTAACCTGGGCGAGTGGACAGCGATCTTTATAATATACAGCACAATATATTCTTTGAATAATTAAAAGTTATGGAGTTGATTAATAGGAAACGAGAGTAATTAATCGGGGCACCTCTATTATTTTTTGTATTTTCAGTATATCATCCACTTTCATCCAGAAATAATCTGGCTAACTATTCTTGTGTCATTCTATTTTATATAATATTATAATGAAGATAGCATTCGTTTTTTTATTAATGTCCCAAGCTAAATTTAGGCACCTGTTTCCGTATTTTTCGCATTTTTCATTTGCTTGTTTTGTCGGACTCATTGGTCAATGTCCATCTACCATCTTTTCCGGGGGGATGGGAGGTGACCTAGGGGTTGTTTTATTATTGTTATTAAATAACGCAAATCTGATATTAAAGAATTACTTTCTTTTAAAATTGAGTTATATTAAAAGAACTTGTAATAAACTATAGTTCTTATGTCGACAGACAATTGTTTCAATGGAACAGCAATTATTTAAATAATTTACTACGAAAGATAATATTTGAAATAAAAAGTAAAAGCATTCTTCATACAATAATTTATAATATATACATTGGAAACAGAGAAACTGCATCATCATTTGAGATTGATAATTCCCAATCCTGATGTGGTGGAAGTATGTTCTACAGATTCACAAATCGTGATTCTCTAACTTTGTTCGTTTATTATGTACGCAATCTATTTCCAATTTCATCCAATCCAATTAAAAGAAAAATAAACTTGCGAAGTTTGAAAGCAAAAATAAATATATAATTATCTTATTAAGCTTCATGTGCCCTGATGCCACCAAAATAGAAACAGGAGGATGTTAAAATATAATAGGAACTTACTATTTTTCACAATTCGGGTTCGTATTCATTTAACTATGCAAAATTCTCAGTACTGACATGAAAGCATATCGTGGATGTGAATTTATGCCTTGTTCTTAAAAATTTAAATTATTAAACAAAGCACGTATTTTTATGCAAAGTCGCATCTCGTTATAGTCACACCCAATATAGTCACAATATTGTTTATATTCACGCATTTGTAATCACCATTTTATATACATAAAATAAACATCATCTCTTTATAGTCACATCCTCGTTATAGTCACCGGATTCTTGTTCTCCGACCCTGTGATTAAAACGAGGTGAGACTGTATATCTTCTCAATGAAGATCTATCGGGTTAAAAGCACTCCCGTTACGTAAAGTAATACGTGAATCTCCGTAATTAAAGATTTTTTAGGAAAGTAATAAAGTGATCCGGAATAACGATAATGAATGTGAATTTTATGCCGTAAATCAAAATCCTAATTGGTCAATTTGGTGCACATCCGGTATAGTTAAGTGCAATGGCTCACATTTGAAATCGTACACAGGAAGATTCAAATATCTCGCTGCCATTGAAGAATTGTCCATGATCAGAAACAATTAAATTACATTCACTAAAATTTTGATTTTTTTGTGTACGGTATAAGTATGACCGAATTGTGGGAAAGATTAGCAGCAGCAGTTAAAAAATATATATACAGTATATACTGTACATTACTAAACTAGGATTATCTATTTATACTTTTTCCTTGGTTTGTATCACTGCATTTATTCAATTGACCTTTCGCAAAATCAATGTCAACACTATTCCAAGCAATTTGTTGCTTTTCTCATAGAAAGTGAGCCAGGAAGTTTTTGCAAGATTATATTGACTTGATTCCATAAATTTTCACTAGGATTCAAGTCCGGAGACTGGGATGGCCAATCAAGAACTGCGAGCTCATTTCGCGAAACCAATCTTTTGTTTTTCCGGAAAGATGTTTTGAGTCATTATCTTAATTCGCAAACTCCATCAGCATCCATGCATGCAACTTCATAATTGAACCACCATCAAATTTCATTGTTAGTGTAATGTGTCGGACTTTTAAAGGTTCGCCATGTTGCTTTCAACAGTAAAAAAAATTTTTATTCTTTTTTTGATCTCATCGAATTATAAAAACTATCGCGAATGATACTTGGCATTTTAATGGATGCAATTTAATTTTTCCTGACCGTGGATAATTCTTCAATGGTGAGATATTTGAATCTCGTCCTTTTTTTTTTCTGTGAACGATTTCAAATGTGAGTCACTGCACATGTTCAAAACAGAATCGGTCTGTTAATTTGCAAGCTTTTCTGGCTTCCTTTTTTATCTGGTAACATAATACTATTTGATCACAAACAAGATTATATTGAGCAAAGCTGTTTCCACACTTAGATTTTTAAAATTTGCTCATGAATATTTGCATGCCAAGGCTATTTCATTGATAGTTCCAATATGTTATTGAAAGATTTTGTTCAAATAAAATTATTTTGATATAGTGGCGCTCAAAAGTAATGCATCACTAGGACGAAAAAATGATTTTAGCAATAAAGACGCGTAAATGAAATTTAGCCCATTTAGTATTTAAAAGCATAAATAAATAATACATGCAATTTAAAGAATAAATGTAACACCACTTTGCTTAACTTGAACTTTATTACGCCAAACTGATGATGCATTTCTTTTGATTGTTTCCCCCTCAAAATAAATATATAAATGGATAAAAAACATGCAACAAAACAAAACACATCTTCTATAAATAAAATACACTTATGAATTCACTCATATAATTAAAATTATTATCATTATGGCACATATTCCCAACAAAAAAAGATTCCAAATTTATACTTTTCTTAAAAAAGGATATTCTTCCCATTATATTGTAAATTGTGAAAATATTTCCTAATTCTGCATTATAAGAATAAAGCAAAAAAAAAGATACTTATAATATCTTTAAAGATTTACCAAAACCAGATCATCCTAGAATTTTTACTGAATGTGATGAATGAAATATTATACATCTAATTTTGAATAGTAGTTTTTCTAATGCAACATTTATCCAAAAAAAATTAAAAACTGATGATAAATTGATGTCAGCACAAGCATAATAAAGAAAACTTTACATTATAATGATCTTTCTTCATGAATTAAGTAAAAAAAAAAAACCATATCTCAAAAAAACACATCAAATTCAACATTTAAATTTTGCAAAAAAACTCATTATTAGATTATAATAATTGGAGTAAAATCATCTGGTTAAATGAATCAAAATTTATGATTTTTAATTCAAATAGATATGAATATTACTGAAAATATGATAATAAATCTTTAAAAGAGTATTACATAAAATTTATAGTAAAATTTGAAAATAAAACTATAATAGTTTAAAATTGCTTTGAATTTTATGATATTAGTAATATTTTATACATTTATAATTATATAAATAAGAATTTATATTACAAAATCTTAAATAATAATCTTTTAGAAATAATTCAGTAATATAAAATTAATGAAAATAATATTATTATCTTTTAATAAGATAATAATCTGAAATATATAATAAAATTTATATATGAATAATTTAATAATAATGTTATTTAATTTGCTTAATTGATCTGTATAATCATCTAATTTTAATTTAATTAAGCATTTCTGAAATAAGATAGATTAATATTATCAATTAGTATTTATATTCAAGATTAATTCTAAAATATGATACAAAAAATTTGAATTAAAATTGATAATGTATTTTTAATAAAGCTAATTGAAAGTATGAAAATACATATTCAAGATATAATTAATATAAAAAATGATTATACTAGATAATAATTAAAATTAAAGATTAAATTTTTATAAATTTATTTAATTTATTAAGTAATTTGATTTTTATTTTTTTATCAAAATAATTAAAAAAAATAAATTACTTAATTTAATATAAAATATATTTTATTTTTTTTAAATATATGATATGAAAAATAAATATGATTTAATATTTTATTTATATATAAATATTAAAATAAGTCTATTTATATATTGATTGATATTATATATAAGATATTATTAAATTATGAAATTTATCATCTAGATGATGCAATACTTTTGAGTGTCACTATATAAAGTTAATATTATTCTATAATTTTTATAAATAAAGTTTAAATTCAAAGAAAAATTAAATATTTTTATTATGTTAAGCTTTTATAAAAGCATTAATATTTTTTCATTCTTAATTTTATCAAATTTACTTATGAAAAGAATTAATTATTAGCTAAAGTTTCAGATTATTTATTTTTCGTTAGTAATTATCTG